AAATGAATAAATAATTTTGCGCCTATTTATAACAAACCCATTTATAACAAATAAAAGTAGCACAATAAAGTAACACTAAATTAACAAACAATAAATATAAGCTAGATAAATTATGAAAAAATGTGCATCGACCGGGAATCGAACCCGGGCCACTCGCACAGTTTGCGAGCGTTCTACCACTGAACCATCGATGCTCATATAAATGACAAGGCATATAAACATTAGCTTCATGTAATTAAAATCAAGAATATAATTTACAATATATAATAAATAATGTTATATCCTAAGTTATTATTTATAACTTATAATCATAGAATTTGATATCTTATCTTAATGACAAGCAATTCTCCGCTGTAAATTAATTTCACATTGTTACATATAAATATTTAAAAATAACTTATTAAAAACAATAATTAGTTTAGTTTAACAAATCTAACTAATATAATATCCACACACACTGTATTAGATTAAAAGTTGTATAGTTTTAGTTTTTTAAATTAGTTGTATCAAAAGAATTAATAAGTTTGCACTTATTTATAATAAACACATTAATAAGAAATAAATAAATGTATAAAAAAAATACTATAAATCAACAAATANGACTGGATATAATTTTTATGTTGTGATTTACAGCGCTTTTATATCCAAGTGATCATGGTTAAACACTTGTACTAGATGTTATTTAATTTATTACTTGATCAGTTATGATTTGCCCGCACCATCAATTAAACATGGTACATTAAGCTGTATTAAAATTTACGAACATTATAACAAACAAATATCTTAGAATGTGATAGTTAACTGGACAATTAATTATAAAATAGGTTCAAAAATGTGTTTTAATGGGTTTAGTCAATCAGAACAGAATTCATCCAGGGGATAAATAATAAATTGTTTTAATCATTTCAAATCAGTTAATTCAGAACGATAACCAAGTTATATTTTATTTTTAAAACTTACGTTTACTTCAATAATTTAGATAAAATATTTATTTAGCAATTAAGACTAACCCGCATTAATTGATTCTTAAGTACTGTTAACTTAATATAATTTATAAAAATTAATATTTATGAAAGTTACCATTACGTGAAAACTTGCTTGGTAACATCAAATTCATAAAAGCATAGAATTTCATTACAAACAACTGTTTTTGAACCTATTTTATAATTAATTGTCCAGTTAACTATCACATTCTAAGATATTTGTTTGTTATAATGTTCGTAAATTTTAATACAGCTTAATGTACCATGTTTAATTGATGGTGCGGGCAAATCATAACTGATCAAGTAATAAATTAAATAACATCTAGTACAAGTGTTTAACCATGATCACTTGGATATAAAAGCGCTGTAAATCACAACATAAAAATTATATCCAGTCTCAACAATACTAGCATTAGTAATCACAGACAAAATAACCATACCCAAAATGGCCAAACAATTGATCGTGCTGTTCGCTCTGGTAGCCTATGCCTCGGCTGGCATGAAAATAGGAAATGGTGGATTGGACTTGCTCAAATTTTCCGAGGGCTGGAGAGCTGACTATTACATCGACCAGATTGTAAGTAATTGTTGCGTTAAAACCAGCAATATTTTTCATAATGATAATTATTAATTTGCTATTTATTTTTTTTTTGAACAGGGCTTGAAAACAATCGGCTACGGACATGCATGCGTGTGGCATAACAACTGCAACGATATCGGTAAAACACCACTCACTCAGCAACAAGGTGTGGATCTATTGAAAAAGGATCTGGTTGAATATGAAAACTGTGTTAACAACGCTGTGTCCGGACTCAACCAAAACCAATTCGATGCCGTAAGTTATATAACTAACTCTACATAAATTAAACCTAGCATGTTTATTTAAAATTAAAATTAAATTTCACAATTACAATTTGATCATGGTAGAAATCGGCCACAAAACCTTCCGACACTTTGAGCAATTCAAGACCGGCCCCATTGATGCTACGCCCGGTGCAAATGGACATGTTCATTAATGCCAGCGCGATAAACGTGATGATTTTTGCTCCCATGGTTGGTTTAATAAAATTTTATTTTTCTCAACGCCTATTTATATTGATATTGAGGAACTAAATATGGTTATTTTTGAAATTACACCATAGTGGAATATGTACAATTCACATGGGAAGTGTATAAATAAGGTATTGTTACGGTATAAGGATAGCGTTCATATTAGGATAATTCGTTTATGTATGGAACTTTATTTAAATAATTATTAATTTTACATTATTGAGACCATTTTGGTTTATTAAATGTATGATAAATATTGTAATTTATTTTATAACAATATTTTATAACATAAAAACTATCAAATGCAAAATTATTACAAATAAAATGATACTATTTGTAAAGAATAATTCGTTTTACTCTTTAACTTGTAATTAATTTATTTAATTTTCACAATTTAGAAAAAAGTTACAATTTATGGCAAAAAGTTGCAATTTATTAAAGGCACACAAATAGTGTGAAAAGTCATATTTTGACTACATTTTGAAGACTGCATGAATGTGTGGTATAGAGTGGGCCTTAAATAGGGTGACAATTGGGTCACTCGATGTCCAGTTTATTCTGGGACTGAGTTTACAATATGATTGTGTTTGTCGGCAGTGTTTGTGTTAGAAAATGGGTTACAATAATTGAAATATGGCTTAAAATTAAAGTTAATTATTTCAAAAATAGCTGAAATATAAATTCAAAGTAAATATTTTATATTTACTTTATATATTATACAGTAAAAACTTTTATACTTATGGTATTAATAATACAGTATTATCTAATAATTATCTAGAGAGATAATAGATGATCCCCAAAGTATCGCAATATATCGCCCCATTTTGGGGGTGTTTAGTAATTGAATTGAACAAAACAAATATAATTTGTATTTATGAATAAAACTTTATTGCAAAGTTGGTGTAAACATAGGTTTAAAAATTTGGATAATTATTATATTGAATAAAAAAGTGGGTTATAATTGGCTGAAAGTATATGAAAACTAAAACTATTTCTTGAGAAACAATTTCTTATCGTTCGCTCGTCGGACAGTCAGTCCTTCAATCACTTGACCCGCGGCCACATTGTATTTAGAGAAGGCATTTGCGGCACCTTGCCAGTTTTTGGCCTTGATGTTTTTCAATATGTCTGAGGTTTGGAAAGCCTGGCAGCCCATGTTGAACGTAAAGTCCACGCACTGTATCATGACCAAAAAATAATTGTGAAATTTAATTTTAATTTTAAATAAACATGCTAGGTTTAATTTATGTAGAGTTAGTTATATAACTTACGGCATCGAATTGGTTTTGGTTGAGTCCGGACACAGCGTTGTTAACACAGTTTTCATATTCAACCAGATCCTTTTTCAATAGATCCACACCTTGTTGTTGAGTGAGCGGTGTTTTCCCGATATCGTTGCAGTTGTTATGCCACACGCATGCGTGTCCGTAGCCGATCGTTTTCAAGCCCTGTCCATAAAAAATAAATAAATAACAAATTAATAATTATCGTGGTTAAAAATATTGCTGGTTTTAACGCAACAATTACTTACAATCTGGTCGATGTAATAGTCAGCTCTCCAGCCCTCGGAGAATTTGAGCAAGTCCAATCCACCATTGCCTATTTTCATGCCAGCCGAGGCAATGGCTACCAGAGCGAACAGTACGATCAATTGTTTGGCCATTTTGCGTATGGTTATTTTGTCTGTGATTACTATTGCTAGTATTGCTGAAACTGGATATAATTTTTATGCTGTTATTTGCAGCGTTTTTATATCCAAGTGATCATGGTTAAACACTTGTACTATACGTGCATTATCTCATTTAATTAATTACTCAATTAATTATGATTTGCCCAAGCCGTCAATTAAACATGGTACATTAAGCTGTATTAAAATGTACTAACACTATAATAAACAATATCTTAGAACGTGATAGTTAACTGGGCAATTAATTATAAAAATTTGGGTTCAAAAATGTGTTTTAAATTAGTTTGGTAAATCAAAACAAAATTCACCCAGGGGAAAAACAATTAATTGTCTTAATCATGTTTCAATTTAGAACGATAACCAAGTTATATTTTAATTTAAAAATAAATTACAAGTTTACTACAATAATTTAGATAATATGTTTATTTAGCAATTAAGAGTAACCCTGTTTAATTGATTTTTAAGTACTGTTAATTTAATATAATTTATAAAAATTAATATTTATGAGAGTTACCATTTATGTGAAAACAAGCTTGGTAGCCTCAAATCAATAAAGAAATTTAATTTCATTACAAACAAATGTTTTTGTACAAAGTTATAAATTTCAACTTGGTAACATTTACGCGTTGTAAAATTACGTACTGTTGATTATTGAACATAACATTTGACTAAAACGTGATTTGTACCGTCAAAATAGATTTTGTTAGCATGATAATTAACAATGATCATTATTTAATATTTGTTCTTTTTATATGGCTATTTGAATAATTATCATTATGCATCTTTATATGGTTTAGTGAGGTTTTAAATTTGATATTAAACCAGTAAACATTAAACATCACTGATTAAGATGATTAAAATTTTAATATTGTAATATTTATATATAATTGATTGATATAAGGATTGACTTGTTTTATGTACAAGAAATGATGATCAAACACCATGTGTTAAATAACAGGATTCCATGATTGTACATCTAACAATCTAACAATAGCGGTTGCAATGTTACCTGGCAAGCCATAATCTTACATTATTACTAATTTTGTATTACATTTAAATATAACGTAACATTAACATACTTATGATTACAACAAAAAGATTTGTTTTTAATAACAAATAATTTTAAGTGTTAATTAATAAGGCATCATTAACAAAAATTATTGTAAATTTTAGTTTTATTAAATCCAAAGACTTATAACCAAGTCTAATTTTATAATTATTATAACTCAATAAAATATATATGTGATTTAAATGTTTATCTGGATAGCCAATCTGACTATTTTTAACAACAACAGTGATTAATAATATTACAACTAATCCTTTGTTTTGTTACTCTAATTTTAATACTTATTTAAAAAATATACTACAAACTGTAAGCATTATCTAAATTATTAAATTAGTTAAATCAGAAATATATATTATGTAATTAATTGGGGACCGGTTACAGGATCAATTATTTTGTCATTTTGATGTGGTTATTTTATTTTTAATTACTATTACTTTTATTATCAAACTTATAATGTTATAATGTTAATTTCAATAGTCCTAACTTGAAGCTTTTATATACCCAGTTGGATAAAAATTACGAACATGTGTATAACTTACTCTACTATTTACATTTATTATTTGATAAATGATCAACTTTAAAAATTTGACACTGATTAAAATGTACTAATATGCCCAGGTAAGAACAATTAATTATCTTGTCTTGTAAATTGTATATTTATGAAATCACAACAATAAATTTATTCAATTAATTATATTTTACAATTAATCAAGGTAGTGATATAAAATATTGTTTATTCTAAGCACAAATAGTAACTACTTTATATTTATAAATATTATAAATGTATCAATATTGATGTTGTTTTATTTATCATGATATTTATTATAAATAGTCTAATTTGTTTTTTAGTTAATATAAATTTTAGACTTGGTGACACCGATTAAATTTGTTTTCTTACCAATATATAATTGATTACAAACAGATAATTGTGTTACGTATTGTTTACAGTTAAACATCACAATTGATTAGCTCATGACAGTTGTTTTCTAAAAATTATAATGCTTGATACAAAGTTAATCCATAAATTATTATTATGTTACTAAATGTTCATTAATAATATGGTCCTAGCTAAGTAAATTTAACCTGTCTGTTTGGTGCTGTTTTACTAATTTTATAAGTTCTATAGAGAGAATTTTCATGATAAGTTTAAACATTATTTGTGCAATAATATTCTTTCAATATTGTACTATTCTATCCCATAATACACATTAACATTTTACCTGCCAAAGCATAATTTTACATTCTGCTTATTTTTTATTGCAAATTGAATATAACATATTGAATAATAATAATTATTATCTGTAAAATACAATAAAAATATTTGTTTTTTAATAACAAATAATTATAATTAATAATTGACATTTTAAATGTAAAATATACATAATTTTATTGCATAATGATTTAAAATAATATTTATATACAGCACATGTCGTGAATCTATTTCTTATTGAACAGGTTTTTTTCATTCCTTCGGCGGACAGTCAGACCAGCGATCACTTGACCACCGATTTTGTCATACTTAGTAAACGAGTTGGCCGCACCTGACCAGTTTTTGGACTTGATGTTTTTCAATATATCTGATGATGTGAACGCCCCGCAGCCCATGTTAAAAGCAAAGTCAACGCACTAAGTCACAAAAATTAATGTAAAAATTTAGATAAAATATTTTTTGAAAGTATATTAGTGTACAAGTATGAACATTGTTATTTAATTTAACTGCTAGGTTACTTACGGCATCAAATCGATTTTGGCTGAGTCCCGGAGCGGCAGTGTTAATGCAGTTTTCAAATTCAACCAGATCCTTTTTCAATAAGTCTGTGCCCTGTTGTTGGCTGAGTGGCGGATGGATGTCATTGCAGTTGTTATGCCATTTGCATGCGTGTCCGTAGCCAATAGTTTTTAAGCCCTGTTGCAAATAATATACAATATAATTAATATAATATAAAAATTTAATTAATATTGATTGTTTTGAAACAAAAATTGCTTACAATCTGGTCGTAATAGAAGTTAGCCCTCCAGCCCTCGGCAGATTTGAGCAAGTTCAATCCATTATTGCCAATTTTTTTACCAGCTGATACAAAGGCTATCAGAGCTAACAACACTATTAATTGTCTGGCCATTTTAAATACGGTTAGTTTATTTGCAATCACAATCACAAGTATTACTAGATTCAATTACTAAAGTATACTTTTATTTATATACCATGGTTCTAACACTTGTTTTAGTATATCTTTTATTAATTAAGTTAAATTTCATATTAAATAATGATAATAACTAGTTATAGTATAACTAATAATAGTTATATAAAAATTAATAAAGTGTCCAACATGGAATCTTTTTCAGGTTTTTTTCCTAGAAATATTTTTTAATCATAACAATAAGTCAATTAATAATGATAGTTTTGGATTATTAATTATTTTAGGTCACAAATCTGTTTAATACAAATTGTTAAATGTAAATAAATTATGTGAGTGTAAATTATATTTGTTTTATTAATAGAGTTTAAAGACTGTAGTCATTTCAATATGTATTTTAATTGTACATATTTTCTCAACTGAATTAATTAGTGTTGGATTAATATATCAGTTCATATTAACGCGCTTTTAATTATAATAAACATTTAAATTATTCTCATTTTATATTTAACATGATATAAATTGTAAATCTTAATTATAACATTGCGATCATTTATAATAATTTATTTATCTGGGTTTAAATGCAATCATTATTTAATACAAGTTTATGTAATCCATGATTTTAAAACTAAAAAAATTAAACATTATAATTGTAATATTTTTAATTATTTTTACTTTTATAATTTACTGGTCTTACCATCTAGAAACTTAATCACAATGAGGTTAATATAAAATTTATGATTTGATAATAAGTTACAGTTTGATTTTAACTAATATATTGTCGGATTTAATTTGTTTACGAGAAAACAATATCATTTAACAAAGAAAAACTATTTATACAAAATGCATATCATTTTAAAATAATTTAATAATAAGCTAAGGCTCGCCGTACATTAACAAGATGAAATTGTTTTTGAATGACCGTTTGGTATGGCATTTATAAATATATACAATATACAGGTGCTTTGTTATATAGATGGAATTAAAACTAACTAAAAGCCAAACAAAGGGACCGATAAACAGGTAATAACTAGATGTTAACAAAAATAATTATCTAATTTTTAGGAATATTGCTAAAAATAATATTAATCACAAAATTAGCATGCTGAAAACGTTAAACAAAATTACAGTAAAAGCATTACAACATCGCGAAAATAGCCATGGCCGTAATAATGTTGATAAAACAATTAAACTTGATAGTTATGAGTGTTCTTCGAGGTTATACCAGTAGCAAGCTTGGCAATCTTGACCAACACGGTATTATCGCATGAACTACATTGCTCATTGTGGTAAAATTATTTGTGGTATTTTCTACCCCATGCATCTGTAAAATTAAACCTAGTTAATTAATAAATCATCATCAAAGAGTGAACTTTACATATTTTTACATATTTTTGCGGTACAAGATATCAAACTCTAACTTAAAGATCTATCCGAATCATATAATAAGGAGTATTTTAAGACCTATTTGTTATTACATAAA